AATTTTACTAGAAATACCCAAGATTTTCCAATTATTTTGAGAGAGAATTGACAGGTTGTTATAAAGCCTTCCTACATTTCAAAGTATTATGACTCTTCATTCAGGTCGTTTTACAATGTCTTTGAGTTTTTGAAATGCTTCCACAAAGGCCTTGTGCATTGATATTAGGATAATATCTGAATACAGATTTAGTTGTAATTGTGAATGAGACCTTATTTTCTCTTGTATCGATCGTGACTAGAATAAAGAAATGTTATTGAGTTTTATAAGGTAAGTTTATATCCAGCAGCTGGCTCACTCTCTTATCACTAGTAATTTTCCACCTCTATATGGGTTTCTCTGTAGACAATCATAATAACATTTAGACACACACACAAAGTAACATAAAGAAGAAGAAAAACGGTCTGCCTCTTCTCTTAAAACTTCTCCCAACTCCCTGTTTATTTTGCTTTATTGTAATGTATGTTGAGCAGTATTTCACTTGATGGTGGACTCGCACCATTTTCATTGTTCCTGACCTTGAAAGCAAAACGTTGTTACATTTTTTTTAATTTATAGAATATTAATAATGAATTGATGCTGAAATATACCGTTTGCTTTTTTGGCAATATCCCTGAGTTGGTTATGAGATTTCATCTTTTATCCATTAAGATAAAAATGATACTGAAAGATTTTTCTGTCTGAAGCTATTTTTGCAATCCTGGCTCAGTCCATTGAGCATGACTCATAAATGCCGATATCCATAAAACACACATATACACATGCATAATTATATAGGGATGGATATAGATAAAGACAGAGAATTCAAAAGCCAGGTTCATGAGTGAAATATGTCTGTATTTTTTTAGGGAACAATTAAGTTTTTAATAAAGTTACTGTCTGGATAGATTTACCTATCCTGGATTTCATATACAGAAAAGCATTAAAAACAAACAAACAACAAAACTAACAAGAATAACAAAGTTAAATCAAAACATCAATTGAAAAAGCAGAAAATATTTCAAAATAAAACAAATTCAAATAGATCATAAGGGAGCTCAAATGATTGATAGCTAAATTTTAACATAACTGCATCTGCAATAATCCACTTTTTTAAAAAAAGCTTTTCATTTTTCCCAAACTATCTAAATCAGTTCTTACGTTTGTATTTTCTTTACTTGTAGCCTCTCTGTCTCTTGATTGGCTTTTCCAGAGGTTTGTCAATCTTAAACATTTTTTCAAAGATTCAGCTTGGGTCCTGTTCATCGTTGTTTTTAATTAAATCTCATTTGCTTCTTTCTCTGCTCTTTTGGTTTAAGCTGCCACTTCACTTCCTACCCCATTAGGCTGGGGAGCAGCAGAGACAGGTTATCTTAGTTTTCTGGAACTCTTAACAAAATAGCACCAAGGATGGTGGCTGTGAACAGGAGGAAATTATTGTCATAGTTCTGGAAGCGAGGAGACCAAATCAGTCCATGTTGGGTCCTTCTGAGGGCTCTGAGAGGAACTATCCCATGTCTCTCTTCGAGCTTCTGGTGGCCCCCTGACCTTGCTGGTGTCCTGGAGTTGCAGTGGCCACCCTGGACACATGGCTGTCCTTCCCCTGTCCGAACCTCTCTCGCGCCCTCTTCTTTTATACCACACCACTCAGATGGGATTCCAATAAGAGTTCTGTTACGTGAAAAAACCTTCAAAGGCTTCATTTCTAAACAAGGCCACCTTTGGGGGCACCAGAAGTATCCTGCAGATCTTTGACAGAGGGCCAATTTAATCCAGAGTACCAGGTGTGCGTCCTCTTACGCTTTTTGTGTGTTCTGAACTGGGCATCACTATTGTTCACAAAATTCACTGAGAATAACAATCACTATTGTTCACAAAATTCACTGAGAATAACAATTCAATTGCCTGAGAAAGGTTTGAAAAACACTTATTTCTATTAGTACATTTAGTGACTAGGATTCAGTGGATCTGGGCTGTGGCCCAGGAACTCATATTTTTAGAAAACTGTGGCAGATGCTGCCATCAACAAGGTTTGGAAATCACTGAAACACGGTGGTTTGAGCTTAAAACACAGTCTAGTGCTAAAAGTATAAGAACCGACCTCCAAGGTTGGAGTGATTGCTAAATTCGAAGTTAACAGATGTTTAAGAGTTTTCCAAAAAAGTGTGGAGGTGGCTAGCAGCCCAGGAAGAAGACAGAGTATTATTAAAGAACAAAAGTTGAGAAAAAGAAAGCCAACCCTTAAAACTAAAAGCAGTTAATCTCATGAAGACACAATGCAAGAGGAGGGTAGCAAAAGCTAGAGAGTTCAATAGAGCCCACATTGTTAGGCTAAGTTGGCAAACTTGAGAAATGAAAAGACAATGAAATGGTTTAAAGAGGGAGGAGATATCAACAGATAGGTTTTTGGAATGGTGTGTTTAGCTATAATGGAGAAAATTAATTGGAAAGAAAGCAAGTATCAAGACAAATCCTACATCCATGGGGTGAGTATGTGATTGTGGCTTGAACGATGATACGTTCGGGGGCAAAAGAGTATGAGCTATTACTTAATAGTACAAATATAGTAAGGTAGCGTGAACATAAATCAGTGATGAAATCTATCCTGAGGCCATAGCTATATGGTATCCAGTTACCATTACTGATCCATTCTGAATAGAAACAAAGTGAGTGAGCCCAAAGATAATGGGAGAAAAATGTAGACCGTAACTTAAATTCTTTTTTTTTTTTTAATTCTTTTTTTAAAATGCTAGACTTACAACACGGGTAGAGATTAGAGGATCCCTGAGACTATTTCCCTGTGGGACATCTGTAGCTGACTAACAGCTGGCTTGTGAAATGAATAGCATCATGAGTACAGTTGCCTTTAAACCATTATCTATATGAGACCAAATGGTCAGCATTTACCTTATAGCCAAGATCAGAAGTTACCCTGTTTCCCTGAAAGTAAGACATCCCCTGAAAATAAGACCTACTGACAGTTTTGCCTCTCGCTGAAATATAAGGCATCCCCCTGAAAATAAGGCCCCCTGCTATCTTGTCTGCCATCCTAGAAATCAGCCCTCTTACCTGCCTTCCTTGGGTTCATTTGCCTCTGCAATCAGAAGGCTGCCATCCGACCTGCCGATCTTGAGTTCATCAGACCCTGTAGCTGCTCAAGTCAGCAGAAGCCTCCAGCCTGAAATTTGACCCAGGGACTTGAAATTTGCCCACCTCGGACTGTGCTAACCATTTCCTTGATACCAACCTCTGTATATGTACACCTATACAAGCTTAACTGCTTTTACTTCTCTCGAAAGCCCAGTCTCAGACACCCACGCATGGTGAACTGAAACCCCCATCGCAACACTTTTTTTTTCAAAACCATTTTATTGGGAGCACATACAGATATCATGTCATTCATGGTTCAGTCGCATCAAGCAGT